AACAAGAGAGGTGGGATATGGAGGATTATGGGAAGATTTGGGTAGAGTAGCAGCGGTTCTGAGAGGTTTGGATAGAAATGGACTCGGTTTGAAGCAGACTTTTAAAGGGAAACAAACCCTCGACCCCTGGCTGTTGGATAGAATCCTAGTGAATCCAATGGCGGGGGAAACTGGTTAAGATCGAACGATAGTGAAAAAGGTGGGAAGCCGAAGAGACACAATCTAACGACTTAGATTTATCCATTTAAATAAAAGCTCACGTCAGCATGGCAGTCGAGCCGACACGATGTTTGCACTTCTCGAAGCGCTAGAACCATCATTACAAGGAAGGTTCGGAGTTGGGCCCCAACACCCGAAGTGAACGAAAAGGCCAAAGCAAATCCCGGCCCAGCTCGAGGCAGTCCAAAGAAAATTCTTGACCTGGGGGGCAGCTGTTGTGCGGACAAATGTGCGTTGACACGTCGGATGATGACCATGCTCCACGTGACCCTATACTTTCCACGTCAGGTAACTGTCGACGGCTAAAACTCATTTCTCCTCCATATGGTGAAAAGGCCGATTGTATGGGGCGATTCATGAGACCTTCGACCTGACATACAGTTGAGGCCTACATGATCTGTTCACAGTACTGTGATAGGGTTGGCCAAGAGAGATGCCGTGTCTTGTGAAGTATAGTGTAGACGCATAGGGCAGAACGCATGAGTATAGGTCCACGTCCCAAGGAAGACTTTTGAGGTGACATGGGGAAAATCCCTAGGTTACGTCTGGGTTTGGAGAATGTCAGTAACACAGGAAATGATTACCTATCCATTAACCACCTAGAACGGACCAATGAAAATCACAGAGGATCCACAGAGCCACAATAGTGGACAAAGTGGGTGAGTGAACAGTCCAAAAGGAGTCGAAAGGCTACAGTCTAGGCAGGTAGGGTCATAGGATGCTTGAGAGGAACCCTTAGCAAACACCCTGGGACAGCCCAACCCAAAAGATACCCATATGTAATCTGTAAGCTATAAAAAGGGGTAAAGCCCCAAAGAGAGGGGGAGGTCCCTTGGTAATCTTCAAAGGAAAAAGGTGAAATACAATAAGCAGTGGATGTAGCTCTTTTTTCATAAGAGTGTACCACTATAAACTCGTGTGCCCCTTTTACTTCCGTTCTAGTACCATATCAATACTCCTCACAATATACCTAAAAAATGAACAATTAGTTGCATAAATCCACATATATAACAACTTTATACCGGTAACCCAACGGAACACTAAGAGGTAATCCGACGTAATCTTGTTGACGAAATTTCACCGTCAACAGTAATAATTAGCTCCCATAAAAAAAGATATAATTAGTTAAATTTTGGTGGCAATCTTGTAAATAATGAGAGAAAAATAGTAATGTGGCATTCTTCTAAATATGTATGAAAAGAATGACTTATTATTAAGTGTGTTAAAATGAGGTAATGAAATAATACATGTCAAAAGAATAAGGTGGCACATGAAAAAGAGTATGTATTTAGCACTCTTCATTAGTGAAAAATTTTCTCAACTACATAATATTTGTGGTTAATAGACATGCCAAAGTTCAACTAACACAAACATCTTATTGTACCGTATAATTTAAATAGTTAAACTCAATAGATTTAGGCTACGTTAAGAACCATTCAAAATAAATAGCTTTTGGCTTATTTAGTCAAAAAGTTATTTTTGAACATGGTTAGGTAATGAAACAACAAAATATCGTAGAGCAGACGAAACGGACGAGTAATGTCATGAGCTTTAGGGATCAATGAGAGCTTAACAACAAGCTTTTAAGAAATTAGGCGTATAATCCTCCCATTAGATTCTCCATCTTCATCATTGATAACTCTAAGAAATTAGAGTTATCGACTGGTTTTATAGCCTAAAATTGTTTATCCATGAGTGATTGTTCTCGTTTATTGTTTGTTTTAAGTTAGATTTGTAGAGTTGCATGTACTTTGGCCTAATTCCGTATTGCTGCACCTCTTGAAATGAAAGCTGGTAATGTGGAAGTAAAATAGGTGAAAAAACTGGCTAATTCTATGTGAGTTCCTTGTAGGGATTCGCTGGGCTAAAATACTGCAGCATTCTGGGTGACATTCTGAGATTAGCTGGCAGCTGATTGATGTCAGCGAACTAGCTAGACAAAGCAGACAGAAAGGAATCCATGTGAGCTGGCTGAGGAGGTGTCAAATGGGTCCACTGTGCACATCAGCAGTGACACCTCAGCCCTTGTGTTGCCCTAGAAGGGAATGTTTCTCTCAGGACAAGTTGGCAGCCGCCAGGGGGAGAAAAAGAGGAAGAGAGAGAATCGGGCATTAATATAAAAAGAAGACAGTTGCTGTTTCACAAAAAGAAGAGAGCACACAGGAGAGTACGAAGACACCAGAAAACACAAAAAGGCATTATTCAGAGAGGAAAAAGCTTCGGAGGAAAGCTGAAGAAACCAGAACATCAAGTAATATTCAGCCTAGAAGGAAAATACAGAGACGTGAGAGCTTGAAGTTAAAGGACATTGTTGGCCGGCCACAGAGGAATCCAAGATCCAACTGAACTTGTTCTTCTTCTGTTAGCTTAACTCTTTTTGTTGTCATTTAGCTACTAATTCTAGATATGGATTATACTGGAGCTTTGGATCTTGTAACTATCATTATGAGCTAAGTTGTTGTAGCTAGGCTTGCTAATGGAACCAATATTGTAAGAATGATAAGTTGTTTTTGAAATGCTATTAATCTACTATTCCTGTTCATTCATGTGAGCTAATGTTTATTTCTATTCTTGATTGGCCATCAACCTTAGGATACAAGATTGAGATTAATACTGGAAGGGTTAGTTTTAATCGGATTAGCATGAATGATGTTTGTTCAATGAACTTGCTGAGTTGTTGATTAGTGGATGGTATAGGAATATATTATCCACCTTGCATAACTTAATGAAACATGAGCTTAAATCTGCAGTCCTAGAGCTGGATTCACATAGGAATGTGTTGGAAATGGCTTAAAGGACCACAGTCATAATCAATTCAGAAGAACTTTATGCATCAACGAGTTTCTGTTAACAGGATAGTAGAATGCTGCAGCATTCTTGGTAACATTCTAGTCAGACTTGCAGTAGAGGGGAAATTAGCAGGCCTAGCTCATTTACACCACTGAATTACATTTCATCACTACATTCTTGTTACTCTTAGTCACTTTAGACCGCATTTAGTTTGCATTCGTTTTATTTACATCATTTTAGTGAATTTCTCACCACATTCATCATTTACTTGTTTTGTTGATTATACAACTCCAGACACATATTTTGGTGATTCATTCCTCGTGGGATCGATATCCATACTTGTGTACACTTTATTACTTGTTAGCGACACGTGCACTTGCAAGCATAATTAGCACGCAATAAGTTTTTGGCGCCGTTGCCGAGGAATTGAAATCATTAAAATATTTGCAGGAGTTAATTTGTTTTACATTTGTTTACTTTTTATTCTCATTCATTTGGTTCTTAATTCCTCAGGTTACTAAGTTGCTTGCATGAATCCACCGCAAGACTTGGAGTTGCTGCCTATAGATCCTGAAATTGAAAGAACATTCCGAGCTAGGAGAAGGGAGCAACAAGGCTTAGCAGGAGTGAGAGACATGGCAGAAGGGGCAGCAGGAAACAACGGGCAGCAAGCAATTGCCAATAACCCTGTTCCACAACCAGAGCCGATTGATGATAGAAACAGGGCCATTCGAGACTATGCAGTGCCCATTTTGCATGGACTTAACCCGGGCATAGTGAGGCCAGCAATTCAGGCACCTCATTTTGAGCTGAAACCCGTGATGTTCCAAATGCTCCAGACTGTGGGGCAGTTTAGTGGCATGGCAACTGAAGATCCTCACATCCATCTCAGACAATTTATGGAGGTAAGCGATGCTTTTAAGCTACCGGGGGTAACCAAAGATACATTAAGGTTGAAGCTATTCCCTTATTCCTTAAGGGATAAGGCGCGAGTGTGGCTGAATTCTTTGCTTCCGGATTCAGTGGCATCTTGGGATGAATTGGCAGAAAAGTTTCTCATGAAATACTTCCCTCCAACCAAGAATGCCAAGTTAAGGAATGACATAACCTCGTTCCAAAAAGAAGATGGGGAGTCATTGTATGAAGCGTGGGATAGATTTAAGGAACTACTACGGAAGTGCCCTCATCATGGGATCCCCCACTGGATTCAAATGGAGACATTCTATAATGGTCTCAATGGGCAAACACGAACTATAGTGGATGCCGCAGCAGGTGGAGCCATTTTGGCCAAATCTTATAACGACGCATATGAGATTTTGGAGAGGATGGCAAACAATAACTATCAATGGCCAACCGAGAGGCATAATGCAAGGAAGGCCACTGGAATTCACGAGGTTGACGCCATCAATGCTCTCTCAGCGTAAATGTCATCTTTGACGAATATGGTAAAGGCGTTGAACAATCCGGCAGGGGTTAATGCAGTGCAAACTGCTAGTTTTTCGTGTGTTTACTGTGGAGATAGCCACCAATATGAAGATTGCCCATCCACCCCCGCCTCTGCATGTTATGTTGCTAATTTCAACAGGGGTAATCATCACTATTCAAATCCTCATAACCAAGGGATGAGGCAACATCCAAACTTATCATGGAGCAATCCGGGAGCAAGTACCAGTCAACCTAATGCCTACCACAGAAACACCTACCCACCTGGATATCCACCGCAACAACAAAGAACTCAAGCCATGGAATAATCTAGCTCTTTGGAAAGCTTGTTAAAAGAGTTTATTTCAAGGAGTGAAGCCAAAATCCAGAGCCATGATGCAGCACTGCAGAATTTAGAAACTCAGGTTGGACAGATCGCAAACTCTCTGAACAACAGGCCCCAAGGTTCTCTCTAAAGCAATACCGAAGATCCACAAAAAGACGGGAAAGAACACTGCAAAGCTATCACACTAAGGTGTGGAAAGGAGTTGGAATCTAAAGCAAAACCTATGGCTGCTCACACAGAGCCCACTTCAATCCAAGGGGGGGAGAAGAAAACAATGCCACAAGAAGAACAGCTCAGGAGTAAGCAACTAGACTCTGATGTGCAGCATGCTGCAGCATTTCCGCAGCATTCTGGATCAGCGGAGACCCGCAACCCTAGTGGAAGCCGACTACCCCTGCCATTCCCCCAGCGTTTCCAGAAACAGCAACAAGATGGGCAGTTCCGCAAGTTTTTAGATGTTTTGAAACAGCTACAGATCAACATACCCCTAGTGGAAGCCTTGGAACATATGCCAAGCTATGCTAAGTTCATGAAGGATCTAGTGACCAAGAAGCGTAGGCTCGGGGAGTTTGAAACAGTGGCTCTGACTGAAGAATGCAGTGCTATTCTGTAGAATAAACTCCCGCCCAAGTTAAAGGATCCAGGAAGTTTTACTATTTCATGCTCTATTGGAAACCAATACTTTGGTAGAGCATTGTGTGATCTGGGAGCGAGCATAAACTTGATGCCGATGTCAATATTCAAGAGGTTGGGAATTGGAGAAGCAAGGGCGACCACAGTATCTTTGCAGCTGGCGGACAGGTCAATTGCAACCCCTGAAGGAAAGATCGAGGATGTACTGGTAAGGGTGGACAAGTTCATTTTTCCTGCCGACTTTATTATTCTTGATTATGAAGCAGATAGAGAAGTGCCCATAATTTTGGAGAGGCCCTTTCTTGCAACTGGCCGCACCTTGATTGATGTTCAGAAAGGAGAATTGACCTTGAGGGTACAAGACGAACAGGTCACATTTAATGTGTTAAAGGCAATGAGGTTCCCGAGTGAAATGGAGGAGTGCTCAACCATCTCAGTTATTGACTCTCTGGTGGCAGAAACACTTAAGCATGATAACTTCGAGAGTAATGTGGAAGGAGGCGTTGAGCAAGTAGAGTGGGTGGGAGACATGTGACAATGCCGAGCTACACAAGGAAGTTTGAGTCTCTGGACTTGACTGAACGGGAACAACAGCCCACTCAGCCCTTAAGCAAAGAGCCGCCAATCCTCAAACTTAAGCCCTTGCCACCACACTTGAGGTATGCCTACTTAGGAGATTCTTCTACACTTCTGGTCATTATTTCTGCTTTATTGACGCAGGACCAAGAGGGCGGGCTAATAGATGTTTTAAGAGAATCCCAAGGAGCCATCGGCTGGACTATAGCAGACATAAAAGGCATAAGTCCCTCCTTTTGTATGCACAAGATTCTTTTGGAAGATGATAAAAAGGGGTCTATAGAGGGACAAAGAAGGATGAACCCGATTATGAAGGAGGTGGTCAAGAAGGAGGTAATAAAGTGGTTAGATGCAGGGATCATCTATCCAATCTCGGATAGTGCATGGGT